AATTGAGCTCATACATGGTCTCATAAAAAGCACAGGAGAAGTGGAGTAGACCCAGACATTGCTGAGTGGGAAAGGCAGGGAGCCTGGGCTGAACAGCCTCACAGACTTTCCTTCCTTGCTATTCCATGCAATGTTCATCTATCAAACATAAACGAGCTCCACAGGCTTGGCTCCAACAGGCAGAGAGTCATTAAAGCCCTGACAAAGGCAGGAGAGCCCTGAACTCAAACCTTACCCCAGAGTTAGTCAAAACCCAAGCACAGAGTGCCCCTGACCAGCCAATATAACCCTGTGCTCCTCCTGTGCTGTCTGAGCTGCACAGACAGGTTTCTTGCTTGCCAGTGCCCCACAGAGATCTGAGCATCCACAGTCTCCATGTGCCTGCAGCTGGGCTGGCTGTGCCTGCCCTGCCCTGCTCAGCACCACGGGCTGCAGGGCTGGCACTGCTGCACCGCTCCTCCTGCCTCACACATGAAAGGCTTTCAGGAGGGCAGGGACAGGCACGGAGGGAAGGTTTGTGTTCTTCCTTGCCATGACCACCTCATCTGTGCATAGCACATGAGCCTGTGTTCCTCCTAGAGCCTCGTGTTTCACACTCCCATCTTTGTTTATTTTATTTAAAGCTTTCACTCCTGAGCTTTGAGGCTGGAGATCAAACAAATAAAAGGGAATTTGGAAGCTGCAATGTCTGATCTACATTCTGCTCAGAAGTTAAACTAAAAATTGCCCCCAAGCCAATACATAAGCACTCATTTTGGAGACCGTTTGGTAGGATATAATACAGTCAATTTCCCTCCCAGGAGGTCAGGATGGAGATCCTTGTTTATTACTGCACCATCAGATGACAAAGTTAGTCTCACCACTAAGGCATTGGACTTAAATTTAGAAGATCTGAAATTAAGTTTCCATATTTAATTTCACAGCTGTCACACAACACAACAAAGTCAGTTATTGTTCTTGTGTCACTTATCTGTCTCTCTCCTCTCTTGGACTACAAACTGCCTGAGACAGAGATGCTGTGCGATCACTTAGTGATGCTCTGCATCCCCCCTGCTCTGCCCAGTAAAACCAGAGCATTTCCAAACAATAACAACTTGCACACTTTCACTAGCTCACCCTCGTTTTTCTCCTACACTGTAAGATTCCATTTGTGTACAAGCATTTAAACTAAAAGCTCAATATTATTTCATTTAGAACCACAGGGATGACTGCTTCTCTGAGAGGGTTAAAAATGTTCTTGCCAGCAGATCTTTGTCTCCTCACAGCCCAAATCCCATTTTCCAGGCTTCCATGAGACCACAGCACCAAGTTTTTAAATGGTTGTTTAAACATCACAGATAAATTTCTGTTTAAGTAGCTAATATTTGTGGCATATTGGTCAATTTTCCAGTTATACTGGATCTATTGCCTTATATACCACAATGCTGACACAGACTTCAGGCAAATACCATTTCTGATAGTGTTCAAAACAATGGATTTTCTATTTATACCCAGTTTGTCAGATGAGACCCTCTGCTCTTTAAATAATCTCAGTAACAGACACATTTATCCTGATAAATTCATGTTTCAGTTCACTCAGAAGCTGTAAAGAATCACACTTTTCCATGGTGCATGGCTGGGGCAGCAGCTGAAGTCAACAAGAGCCCTGCAGGCACATCCCAATGGAGCATTTGATCTCTAATCATGTTTATTGGAATCCAAGTACATAGAGGCCCTCTCTTACCACACTGAAAGCATTGGGAAGATTTCTATTGCAAGGAAAACAGGATTAGAGGCCAATTCATGCAGGACACTGTAGCTAGTGCCACGCCATCAGCTCTCAGGCAGAGCTCTCCAGTGTCTTAAATGAGGATGTTTCTTAATCACTGATAGCAAAACCATTGTTCAACCACATTTCTGCCTTTATGCAGAGGAAATATCCCTGTGTACAGTGAAAAGACTCAGAAATGCTAAGTACTGTAAATGTATCAGACTATTCAATTATTACACACAGATTTGGTGCAAGCACTTATCTGTATGTGTTATGGAGCTCAAAATAGGATAATGAGGCATGTGTACTACAGTGCTGTGCAGATATAACTCATGCAGCATCACAAGGTTAGGTCCTGCAGTCCAAACACCACATGAACAAAGATTTGGTTGGATTTGTTGGCCCTGCTGGGTGGAAAACCAGTTACAACACTGCCTTGGGGGTGGACTCAAAACAGGGCTTCTAGTTCCCAGAAGTAAATAAAGAGAAAAACCCCATTTCCTGTAAATCAACTGCAATCTTTAAGGAGAACAATAATTACTGCAGCTCACTGTAGCTCTAAAGAACACCACTTTAACATACAAATGGGAAACTCAGAAGGTCTAAGATGTCATTTTCCTTTAGGACATTTAGGAGAAAGTTTAGTGCTTCTCCAACCTGAGAAGCAGGAGACAGCACTGGAGCACTGGAGACCCCAGTCTTCCTTTCCTCCTGCAAGCCCTCACCACACTGACTGCCATGATAATATTTTACCCAGGTTTCTATGCAACATTCATGTCTAGGGAAGACTTCTTGCCTCTACTGAGGCTGTCTCAGCTCCAGACCAAATCCCTGTCCCAGACAGTCTTTCTAAAGCACCCAGGAGATGGGGACTAGCACAGCAGCAATCTGCTTCACAAAAGCAACCAAAGACACATCTTGTGGTAACAACACTCAGGCAATTCTGGCCCAGAAAGCACCTGAATCAGGAATTTTTGAGGGTCAAATTCCTCAGGTACAAGTTTCCAAAGCCATGCTGTGATTGATGTTCTATTGATTCATAATTACAAGCAGCTCCAAACAACACAGGTACAGAAATTACAACAAACCAGGGAGAATCCTGTAATCCAGGGAGATCTTGATTCAAGCAGAGTGAAAAGGCATTATTTCTAAAGAGGACCATACCAAAATACATGAATAATTACCTCCCTCTTTTGGGGACAAAATCAGGGGCTGGTTCACCTTGTGAAGTCAGTAAAGGAACAGGAACAGTCTGACCTGGCTTTCTCCACATCGGAGCTGCCACAGAGTGGCACTGTTCACAGAGACCTGCGTGCCCAGCAGGGAGCTCACAGCAGATTTTTGTTTAGCCAGTTTTGTAGCCCTCAGCATCAGTCTCCACCTGGAGACCCCCACTAGATGTTTTTCTGCATTCTGCTGCCCTTTTCACTGATTTAAATCATTCCATTGCCTCCACTGCTGGCCACAACACTACCAGTTTATTTTCAGATTTTAATGCAGCCTAGAAACAATGCACAAGTGCCATATCCCAAACCACAGACATGTAAAAAATCAGGACAGACAGCAGTTTAGCTGATCTGGGCAGGAGGTCTTGCCCTCACAGGCATATGTGACATGCTGTCTTGGCAGCACAGGCTCACATCCATCTGTTGACGTGGAACTGAGCCCGCTGCACTCCCACCGTCCTGGTTTAGTTCATAGGCACCACATGAGCTCTGGGTTCAGCAGGCAGGGTGCACAGTGCTGCAAGTCCTAAAGCCAGCCTCTACTGTCAGCATGGAAAGCACTGCAGGAATTCACACAGTCACAGAGTGGAAACATGAGAACAAGCCCCAGCCCTGGGGTCCCAGGAGAAAAGCAGATATTTCCAAACAAAAAATGATAGATCATGAGCCTCTGGTTTAATTTCTTGTGGTCAGTGGATTCAGCAAAAGCAAAATGAACTTCTTTAAATGCCCAAAAGCACCTGTAGTTAGATCTCAGGAAGTGTCGCCTTATCTACCACTAGACAGCAATGACTAACCAGCTCAGTCTTGGGAATGATAAGGAGTAAAATCTAACTTTCACATGCATTTCTACAGAAGAAAGAAACTAAATTATTCAGAAAACAGGAAAAGGTAGTAGCCAGATAAAACACAGCACCTGTAAAGCACCAGCAGGTCACAGTGACCCATATAAAAATTATTTCCATTACTGTGAGCCAAAACCTGCAACTGCTTGCCCAGGAAGTGTGAAGAGGTATCAGGAAGAAGTGTGAACTTCCCTGCGTGAAGATTATGAACCTGCGTCAGAAGAGGCTCAGCAGAGAGGGGAGCTCAGGGCCTTCCCTGCACAGTTAGTGGCACAAAACTGTTCCCCTTTTCCACAGATAACTTGGCAGGGACATTTGTTCAACACCAGCTAAGTGACAGCGGCTGAGGGGAGAGCTGAAGCCCAGCCAGAGCAGCACCACACCTCTGAAGCTTGAAACACTTTTGCAATGCAGATTTAAGACTGTGTTCTTCATCCCAGACATTCCTGTCATTGGATAAATAAAGGTTTATAACTGCCTTCTCTGGCAAACCACAGTATGGTAATGTGGCATTAATAACTTAATACAGTATTAACTGATAGACAATCAGTATTAGCATGATGTTTACATTTGGAAAACATTATAGAGCACTGTATCTCCAACTCTTATCCTGCCATTAATTCAGATGTGGAGCTCATTACACAGCAATTGACATTTCCCTTCTGAATCTGCATCCTGCTCTGCACAGGCCTCGCATCTGCTTGGGACAACCAGCCCTGTAAGCCACTCACCGATCTAAATTCTCTGCAAATCTGAATTCTCTGCAAATCTGAATTCTCTGCAGAACATCCATGGTGTTTTGCTCACTTGAGGCTGTAGCTAATGTTTCAAACACTGTACCCCAAAAGCTGCAAGGGGGTTCTGAACGTGGGGCCTCCCACTGCACCCACCAAAGGGATGCAGGTCCCAGCCTCGTACTCGGACCCATCTCTCCAACCCCGTGCCTGTGTTCACTGCTGTCCAGGAGCAAGGCACAGTCCTAAGCGCCTTTGGGACACCCTAAGCGCACTTTGCCAACAGCCTCGGGTGCGATTGCTCAGTTTCAGCATCACAGCGAGAGTCCCCCACGGCAGCGGGGTCACCGTGCCCGTCCCGCAAGGGCTGGCAGTGCCGGGGCAGTGCCGTGCGGGAACGGGGTGTCTCCCGTGCGGGACCGGGGTCCCTCCCGTGCCATCCTACCTGACCCGTGCTGCTGGCGGAGGATGGCGGCCTGCCCGGGCGGCGGCGATGCCGAGGAGGCTGCGGCGGCGGCGGCCGTCGATGCGGTGGCGGCGGCGGTGGCGCTGGTGGCGGTGCCGCCCGGGGCGGGGGCCGGCGGCGGCGGCGGGCGCTTGGCGGGCCCGGGCGGGGCCGTGGGGCGGGCGGCGGGGCCGTGGCGGCGCGGGGCGGCCCCGCTCTGGATGTGCGACACGGCCTCGGCCGCCTGCACGTCGGGCGGGGCGAAGCGGGACAGGACGCGCAGCAGCGCCTGAGCCTTGTGCTCCTGCGTCTCGTCGTCGCTGTAGTCCGACACGCGGCACTGGTAGACGCCCTCGTCCTGCCGCCGCACGCCCGACAGGCGCAGCCGGTGCGAGATGTCATTGCCCTGGACGCGGACCGTCTGCAAGAGAGCGCACGGCCGGCACGGCCTCAGCACGGGCCCAGCGCCTGCCCTCTGCTGCCGGAGCAGGAGCCGGGCTGGCTCCCCCAGAGAAGCGGACAGAGCCCCGCACCCCGCTGCCCAAGCCTCACCTCGCGGGGGCTACCCACAACCAGCCCTGTCCCCATCGTCCCCGCGCCATCTCCCCGCTGTCACCGCCAGCGCTCCGCCACCCGCCCCCGCGGGGGCTCTGTCGCCCCCTGGCCCTCACGGACCGCCCCGAACCCCCCCGGGGAAAGCGCAGCCCCCGCCCGCTGCAGCGAGCCGAGCGAGCCCGGCTGGTGGCAGGGCCCCCTCTCCTGTCCCCTCTCCTGCCCCGAGCGCTCAGCACCGCGGAGAGGGGCAGCGGCTCCCGGGCTCATCGCAGGGACACGGGCGGGTGTCCTGCGGGACAGCCAGGGAACGGGGCCGCCTCAGGCTACTGGGGGTTGCAGAAGGCCGGGGGAAAAACGCAAGATTCTCCTCTGATTTGGCCCACAGCCCTTTTCCAACGTGGCTAAGGAAGGGCCACCTCCTCTGGATTTGCGAGGAGTGAGACGTGACTGCAAAAGCAGCAACAGATGGTAACAGCGTCTTGAGCCGCGGCACAGTGAGGAGGGGAAACGTGCCACACTCCCGCCGTGCTGCAGGAGTGCGGCTGCCACCGAGACCAGCTGCATTCGTGTGTCAGGAAAGGAGGGGGGCATGCAGTAAATCCCACACCCGTGGGAGGAGGGCTGTGCACCCATCTCGAGCTGCACTTACGCTGATTTTAGTTGCATCCTTATTTGCTACCTAAAAGAACAGGAAAAAAAGGGCAATTAGACTCAGCACTGCCAGCACATCAACAGGATGCTCATATTCCCACCCCCGTGGAAGGACAGGACATGGATAGATGCAACTTTCTCAGCTTGCCATTCACACAGCCTGTGTGGCTCAGGGCAGTTCCCCAGGTGATGGGGAAGGCAGCAAAGCAGTGCTCAGCCAGGGGGAGTATTTGGGTAAAGTTCTCATGCTGCCCCACAGAAGCGCTGCCTTCCCCAAGGGTGAGAACAGCAGCCAAAGAAATGCTTGTTGCATGCTCTGCTGCTCACAGTCACTGACAAACACTGGGGAAGACGCTTCACCAGCAGCACAGCAGGGAAGGGCTTGGGCAAGCTGGATGCTGCATGGCTCAGGGCAGAGCTTCAGTCCTGAAACACCCTGGGAGCAGGTGTCACGCAGCACATTTCATATCTGGTTATGTTTTTGTCTCCAGCCAACCACTGTAAACCTAAGTGATGCCTCAGACCTCACTGATACGCCTCTCAGGGAGACGGTCATCATTCTCCAGGCTTGCTCTGTCATCATTTATTGTAAAAGCAGCTCACAGTTTTTATATAAGGTTAAAGAAGACATTTAAATCCAAGCGATTTATTTCCCAGTCTGACAACTGACTTACACTTTCCCCAGCTAGGCGGCATCGCATTAGCTCAGTGTCTATATGCTTTGCATCTCTATTTGAGCTCTGCAGGAAAACAAGCGTGCCACAGAGAGGGAGTTGGCACAGGCACAGAGGCTGCCACGGGCCACCCTGCTGGCACAGAGGACAGGGCTGAAGGGGATGACATGTCCTACACAGTAGGGCAGCACAGCCTCAAATCCTGCTTTACCCCACTCCTTGCACAGCCCCGTTTGGCACCTGCAAGTTGTCTTTGCTCTGGTGGGGAGGTGCAGAATGAACTGGCTTATGCTGGGGAAATGCAGCTGAAAAATTCAGACTAAAGCCTGCCCTCAGACCAAGCAGCGTTCTAGGGGGAGGGCAAAAGGCACACAGGATTTAACTCTACTTCATGCATTTTAATGGCTATATCTGGCTGAAAACATTTTGCTGAGCTTCAGATATGGACACCAGTCTGGACGTGGACAAGTAACTGTCCCTTTGTAGATGCAGACTGGTACCACATTAATGTACCAACAGAGAGGTTTATCCCTCATGCCTTTCTCTGCACTATCAGTGAGCAGAGGCTCTCCCACCTTTTACAGTGATTCCTAGCTCAGTCCACAGAAGCATTGGTTTTGGCTTGTCCACACTTCATACAACAGCTTTTCTTGGGACCTCATTGCTGATTTTGCAGTGGGACATTTATCATTTTCTGTTTACAGTCCCTCATGGTGCATGCCCTGTACTCCTGCCTTCCTCAAAGGGCCTGGGCATGTTGATGCTACCTACTGGTGACTGGCACTGGGCAGAGGAAGCACCCTGGGAATGCTGAGTTTATTCTGATCGCTGCCTAAGCATGTTGCATTTGATGAAGAGATACATCTCCATAGCAATGTATTACCTTGCTCCTGCTGCCGGGGACACTGATGGCTAATTCGTGTGCAAGTTCTCTGGCTGGCTCTTTAAGGTACCACCACTGGATTTCCAAGGAGTAAGAGGTGGATCCGCTGGCTCGGAAAGCACAAGGCATCTCAATATCATCTCCCTCCCTAACAGTCACATCTTTGGGAACTTCAGTAAAGGTAGCTGGGAAGGGAAGATAGAGTTACAAGGGCTGGTTAACGAGAGAGATTAAAAGGCAAGATCAGTCTAACGTGAGCTGTTTCAGCTCGATAGCTGAGCGCTGACCGCGGCACAGGTTTCCTGGAGCCCACAGGGTGAGCAGAGCATCCAGGACTGCGCACCGGGGCAGGGCGGAGCCGGCCCCGTC